GGAATGCAGGGAGTTGGCTCACTTGGTCAACCGAGCTACCTAGATGGAGCAAGGGCTCCTAGATGGTGATAGTGATAGGATGGATGGCAGACGGGAGAGATGGCAGGTATCAGTTCCTGCTTTGGTAGTAATAACTAACGTGGTAGTAATAGACTAGATTACAGTAGACGAGAGAGATGGTAGATATCAGTTCCTGCTTTGGTAGTAATAACTAACGTGGTAGTAATAGACTAGATTACAGTAGACTAGTAGAAATGGTAGCTATGAGTTATTGCTTTGGACTAGCTGTAACATCAATGGCTATGGTTTATCTCACAAGATCTGTCACCAGTTAGAACCTTGTGGCAATGTGGAGTAGACTTACCATGAGAAGCATGTGATTGTAATGGGGTAGATTGTAATGGGTGCTGTTGGTAGTCAGTCTCCATACTCAGGTCTCCCCAATCACCCACACACACTTTACTTTTCATGGCTCAGCCTTCTAACTTCCTATAGAGAACTTCCTTTCTTTATTTTATGCGAGTTACTTCATCCTGGCCCAGTCAAGATCTCAAGAAATGTATGCTCACAGCCTTCTCCAGGTAGAAGGCAACAGAACAGCTGAAGGGATGGAGGTGGGGTTGGGGTGATAAAACTAACAATGCTTGTACATCAAGGGATGGCCTTGCTGGGAAATTTAGGCTTTGGATCAAGCTTCGGCTGGATCTTCACCTTAATAAGCAGCTTGCACACACATCCATGGCAACCCAACAGTTAGTTCCCTAGCAAAAGTAAATAAATAAATGAACTTCGTGGACAGACATGGTTTAGTAGAAAACAGTTTTTACATCCCCCACAGTGTCTACCCCAGCATGAGATAACCACAGCCAGTCAGTCTTTGATTTCAATTTTCTTTCTTTACTAGGAATTCAGAGTTTCTTGTGGTTCCAGTAGTACTTTACAGACAGGGACATCTGCAAATTATCAGCGATACTTCCCAGTGTAAACCGTTTGTCCAAAGGTATTTTGGACGTCTCTGATTTCAAGTTCTCAATCCTCATGTCAGACCTTGTTCCAGACAGCATGTCCCAGTTGGTGTGGGGTATGCGTGCTTGTACAGCCGAGGGAATGAGGTCTAGCCAAGAGGCAGCCTACGGAGGTAATTTGAGCAATATAAAAAGGCAGAAACATTGATGTTAAGCAAGACTGGACCTCATGAGCATCCTGGCTCCATCCCACCCAGCTGTTGGACCTTGGCTACCTTTATGTTAAAATGAATTAACTAACCTCCATATCACAGGGTTTAAAAAAAAAAAAAATGAGATGACGTATACAAAGTACTTTGCACGGCTCCTGGTTGATGTCAAGACATGGATCCGTCTAGACCGGAAAGAACAGTAGGTTAGGGAGCCTTCCGGGGACTTGAAGGGACCTCTAGATTAAGCGAGGACAGGGGAGGAAGGAGGCAAGAGAGAAACAATGCCGAAGTGTTTCCACCCTGGGCAAGGGCCACAATGCTCCTGCGTCAAGGGGAGACTGGACCTCACGTTGGCCGAGAGGGGGTTACCCTCGGATGAGAGAAGGAGCCCTGAGACCCTGGTGCACCACGTGGCCGCCCAACCCTCCCCCACCTCAGTCTCCGCCAGGCTGAAGTAGGTGAAGGGTGGAAGCCAGGAGACCGCGCCGCGGAGGCGGACGCCCGCTGCCGGTCTCCTAGCAACTCCAGCCCCGCCCCGCCCGGTCTGGAGCGCCGGCGCCTGGAAGCGGGGACCGGCAGGCCGGGGTTGCCATGGCAGCGCGGCCGCCGCGCCTGATGCTGGCGGCGTCTGCGGGAAGCGCGGGCCCTGAGCCCCGCGTGGGCGGCCCGGCGGCGTCCCCAGCTCGCCCCGACCCGTGCAGCCACCGAGAAGTCCTCGGGCGTAGCCCCTATTTGCGTCCGCGCCGACCGGGGCGCGTCACAGCTTGGAGACTTTTCAGTTCGTGGGGACCGAGTTGGTTGTCCGGGCAAAGTCTAAACTAGGCAGCAATGTGCACGCGCGCTCCCTCACATGCAAACACCAGCAGCCTGAGGTCGTGTTTCTTTTCCGCTTTAGTCTAAGAAAGAATGTGCAGAAAACGCAGAGGCTTCCAAATACTGTCTTCTAAAACAACGTTGAAAAAAAATTGCTGCTTTTCTTAAGGGCCGTTTTAAATCGAAAATGCCCGTGTCTGGAAGGGTGTGCTGGATCCGAATTGGCAATCTGCAGTGGGTTTCACCTGGAGAATCCGGTTATAGGGTTTTAAATTTAATACGTTTACATCATCCCCACCCCCTGCTAGGGCAATGGTCTCACTAGGACAGAAGAAGCTACTCGCAGATACAAAGCTCATTCTCTGGCTTGAGAGTATTTTTAACTGAGGCGGAGTCTGTCACGTGTTTGTGATTTTAATCAAATTGACAAGGGCTCTGAACAGTGAAAGCTTGCTATCTAATTCGAAGACAACATTAGGGACATAGAGAAGCAGACTCTTCGGTCTTGTTTGAATCGAGCTTTTCACATCTAATGTTCTGCATACATTTTCCTCGATCCACTGCAACTGGAAAATTTAAATCAAACCCCATTTCTTATATTCATTTTTATGGTAAATGTCTCTGGGCTGAGATTATGCATATTCTCGATCAACAAGAAACCGGAGCAGCAATCACCATGAATTGAGCACCTTGCTGATTGAGCAACACTTGAACCTGGAGGCATGAACAGCCGTAATCTCAGAGTGAAAAATCCTTCACGGTATCTTTCAAACACGTATTTACAGCTAACCTTTTCCCCTCCAAAGGATCATTCACTTGGCAACTTTCTTATCCTTCGCTTTGTCAGAGTAATCTCTTTTAGAACTACGCTCATATACTTTTCAGTCTGTGGTTGGAGAGATGACCATATTAAAGTATTTATAGGGAGGCAGATGAAATAACTCAATGGGTCAAGACACTTGCTGAGCAAGCCTGACAACTTAGTAGGATCCCTGGAAGCCACGCAAAGGTGGAAGGAGAGGGTGCACATCCTGGCACACCAGTAATCACACAACCGCACAGTGATGATGGTGACTGGGTTTTTTAAAGTATTATAGCTAGACATGGTGGAATGTGCCTGTAATCACAGCACTGGGGAGGCAGAGGCAGAAAGACCACTGCAGGTTGGAGGCCAGCCTGGTCTACACAGTGAGATATCATAAAAATCAACAAAAAGAGCAAATGTTTTAAAGTAACAACCGACCCCTCTCCCTCTGGGTCTCTCTCTCTCTCTCTCTCTCTCTCTCTCTCTCTCTCTCTCTCTCTCTCTCTCTCTGTGTGTGTGTGTGTGTGGTGGGGAGTCTCATGTAGCCTAGGCTGGGCTTGAACTCCTGATTTTCCTTCCTATTCCACAGGAATGCACCAAGCCTAGCTATGAACCTGTGGAAACATACATAACTATTCTCTTAGTCATTTTCTCCTCCCAGTATCGAAAACAGAACCTTATAATTTACATGGTGGAGAGGAGAGGATCAATTCTGAACATGGAATCAAATATCTGAAAATAAGACTCTTGTGTGTATCAAGCATTGGAGAGGAAAAACAAAGAACCTATAACACTACATATACTTAATAAATTTTTCATGGAAAGGGCCAATCACTGAATAAACTGACTTCGAATTTGCTAGTTTAAATGTGACGATCGCAGAAACAACAGTTAAATTAGTGCTTGTGGAATATTTTTTACTTGGTAATCCTCGTCATCTCCCTGATTATTCATTCATTATCCTACAGTTCTTTTTCACAAAGGTTATTCATTAGGATGAGCCCAGAACAACTCGACTGCAGGATATTGGAAATGGTCCACAAGTGTTTGGCAAATAGAATTGCCCAGATCAGCTCTTTAACAGCCGGGTTGGTCCTTTTCAGATGAAAGCTGAGTTACACACATGAGTTAGCCCAACCGTCAGTCCAGGGGCGCTCACAGGATTTATGCATGTCCTACTTTATTAATAATACCAGAACTCAGAGGACCTCAGTAGATTTTCCACATAATTTCCTGATGTGGAGACAATCTCCTCCCAGCTGTTGCTATTGGTTTCCAGGATTGCAAGGGCTTTGCCTTATCATTTATGGTTAGTGTTTCCTCGGGAACCTAATATTTATCAAACACCAGATCCATTTTCAGGCTCACCTTTCCTCTTTTTCAAATCACCAGTGACCTTCCGTGCTAAGTATCTTATCATTATTGCAGCCTACCTGCCTCTTATCTAATCCCGTTTTAAACTAGCTATACACGTTATCTACACTGCTTTCATCTTTTAGCGGCTTATTCTAATATGAACTGTTTAATCTTTCTCCATTTTCCAGATTTCTCTACTTTCATTCATTTGCCTATATGCCTTTATCCTTTTTTCTTTATGCTTCCCATTTCATTTCTTTCTTTTTTCTTCATTTCTTATATAGTGCAATGAAATAAAGCAGAAGGCTTATCTTGCCACCTCAGAAATGGTTGTATTCCCACATGTGCAGTATGCTTGACCGAAGTACAATGCAGATGTTTCTGTCACTAAAGACTCTCCCATCCTGGAATATTTCTTCTTATCAAATACAAGGCCACACGGAGTTCTCAACTCACCCCTTGCTCTTTGCAGAGGTGTTTAGTGTGTTAGTTAATCAATCAGACTCTGGACTCCGACATGGTTTTTACACTTAACTATCTGTGTGCATTTGTATTTTCTGACCTCTTCCTCTGCTGTGACAAAGACACCTGGCACAAACGACCTGAAAGAAGGAACAAGGTTCATGGTGTCAGATCAGAGGCTCCGGTCCATGGCCAGCAGCTTCATTGCTTTTGGACTCATGGGGAAGCCGAGCAGCATAGTGCCCGGGCAGGGGTAGAACAAAGCAACAGGGAAGAGTCATAAGGAAGCACACCCTCAATGACCCGCTTCCTCTGTCCAGGTCCCACCTTCCAGTGACATCACCGGATTAGCACTCCGTCAGTGGATTAACTCACTGACTTAGTCAGACCCTTTCTCCCCTAGTCACCATCCCTCCTTAGCCCCACCTCTGAACACTGATGCACTGGCAACATTTGAGCCTTTCAGGGGCCACTTCACCTCCTAACTGTAACACTTCTTTAGACCTCAGGCTACTCATCTGCAAAATGACATTAGGCTCATCAGCTTTGGGGACTTGGAAGGATTAAATGAGACTGGTTCTGTGAAGTGCTTGGCATGCAGTCAGTGTGTCAGCAATGACTGTCATAAACTTTGTCATTAAAACACCTTAAAACGTTGTTCCCAGTTGGGGGTACATTCCTGAAATCCTTTCACTTGGGAGGCTGAGGCAGGAGGATCCCCATGAGTTTGAGACCCACCCCTAAGGACACATAGTGAGAATATATCTCAAAACAAAAACCAAACCACTGTCCTCATTATTCCCAACTGACCTCCCCTGAATTAGTGCTGGCCTGTCCACAGAGAAATGGAATTTTGACCAGACATGAGACAGACACTTTGATTAAAAGGGTTGGGGCAGGGACGGGGTATAAACAGAAAGGGAAATTCCAAATCACAGAGCAGTGCTCAAGGGCTCTGTACACAGATACTTTGAAAGGTTAGAGCACAGTGTGGGTGATGAGGTGCCTAAGATGGAAAGTGGAATGCAAACCACAGCTCATCATAGAATAACTTGCATGAAATTAGTGACAGCGTAATAGGATGAGACCTGGAGAAAAGTGTTTTCTAAATACACATGAGATTGTGAGGCCTGCCATACAGGAAAAACATGGAAACGGTGGAGAATCCTGATGACACCTGAGGATTGGACTGGGGGTGAGGGGTTGGGGGGTGTCTTTCAGTGGCGGCTCCTTGCCAGGATTTAGAATCCACTCTAGAGAGTTTAAGCAAAAGAAATGTGTTACAGAGTGATTAATGGTCACATGCTTGTTTGGGTTGAGGAAATGCTCTGGGCCGAGCCTTAGGAATAACTGTCCAAACTACAGTCGCCACAGGAATCCCCACCTTTTTGAGCAGCAGGAAAACTGTTATTGCAGCTGATGGCTAGGAAGCCACACCTTGACAGCCACATTCAGAAACCGCTGACATCAGAGAGCATCATGGTCAGGGAATGTCTATGCCAGGGCCAGCTTCAGCACCACAACATCCTTATGAAATCTCACCAGCGAAACAGATGACCCATCCCTATTTGACATCCACAAAGCTGGTGATTACACACCGGGGCCTCTGTTAACCTGGTGGAAGAAATGCTCAGCGAACCCGGGGCAAGCCTGCCATCAGGACCGGCAGAAGTCAAGCAGGAAGCAAGCAAGCACGCCCGAGAAGCTGATTTATATTTAGAACTTTGCTTCAAGGAACTCTGAGAAATGAGTTTGTGCTGTTCCTCTCTGCAGCAGAGGAACGCACAGGAAGACCGGGTTGGGACGACTCACGGGCACTGATCCACTCTGTCCACCAGGAGACCAGGCTTTCGCTGTTAAATGTTTGTATGCACTGTCCCCTAAATTGACACTTCTGACTAAACACACACACAGAGAAAGAGAGAGAGAGAGAGAGAGAGAGAGAGAGAGAGAGAGAGAGAGAGAGAGAGAGAGGGAAATCCTCACTACCTCACAAATGCAATGCCAGCTTTTCGGGGGACCAACGCATCTGGTATCCATCTCTAGGTGATGCTCTTTTTCTCCCTCTAACCTCGTCACCTCATGCCCTACAGCCTGTAGACCAGGGGTTCTCAACTTGTGTGT